ATTTGATATCTAATACTTGAATAGATTCACTTTTTAATAATAATCCCAATAAAAACATAACATCCTTCAGATATAGTAATACCGAGTACATTATATACGTTTACTAATATTATGAGTGAAAGTGTTTATATAATATTTTATTTTTTAATAAGTATTGTATTTTCTTTTAAAATAAAGCATTGTATTCATATTTAATATCCATCTAATTTAATATACATTTTATATTTTGTTAAAAATGTATATTTTAAAATAATAATTGTATTTCTTTGTTGACCGGGTTTTCTGGCGTTGACCGGGTTGACCCGCCGGGTCCGGGCTGACCCGTGACCCGATCGTTCGGCCGGGTCGCTTCCCGGTCCGGTTTTTACAACATAGCGTTATAGCGTTGTGTAATGAATTTGGACCTGAGGCAGCAGATAGCCTGATTCCAAATGCAAATTTGAGACCCATATTAATATAAAAACTAAAAATAATTTTCAATTTAAATACTAATATTCAAATCGATCAATTGCACACTCATTACATTGATACTCTTTTAATTGATAGGCAATGTGCGTGATTTTAAGATTTGGATGTCAAGGCACAGAATGCATTACATTACTTCTATCCCACTCAACTTTACCAAGTTAACGTTGGGTTGAAAATTAGAATATTAAAGTTTGTGTGATTGAAGTTTATGCGGACTAGAGATATGAACTGAGCCACACACTAAGTTTATTGGAACAAACAAAAAAGAAAAGTTGACAAAGTTCAGCGGGACGGAGGAAGTATATGACATGGATTACATTATTGATTGATTAAAACTTCTTCTAACAGCTCAGCTAGCTGTAGATTCCACCACACCTTAATTCAGAGAGGTGTGAAATGATATGAGTGATTAAAATTTAAAATCATTTGAGATATCATCGTACGTTAAATGTAATTATCTCTTTTGTTTATTGTATTTTAATTCTAATGAGGACACAATCAAGATCGGAACTTTTATTTAGTATAAAGCTGCGCTAGGCAGAGAGCGACACGTAGCATGCAACTAACGTACATGCATTGCATGGGCATGCATGTTCTCTCTGTCGTGTAAAGAGCCTTTGCCATTTCTGGACTATTACTTTTCATTTCTGGATCCACTTATTTTTTTCATTAACTTTAATTTGTTGTTGCTCTTTTTTTTTTTTGTTGAGAAAAGTAAACAAGTGAGTCACTCGCAAAAAAGAAAATAAAAAGCAATATGATTATCAGAAATGGTGCGGGCGCGGTAACCCCGGCTGGTACGTTGTCTCTCCGGTATACGTCCCTTTCATGGAATTCTTCCCCTTTCTCTCTAGTTGAGAACTTGAGATAACCTTAATTTTGATGAGATAGGAGAAGTAACTCAACAACAACTTATGTAGCCAGTGATTTATCACTTCGTATTTTATATCTCGTGTAGGATAAATACTTCAATTAATGTGCTTCGCTCATAAACAAAACTAGACATCAAGGATTGCTAAATCAAAGCATAACCTGACGTGACTCTGATACTATGTTAACACTCCAAATTCTGTGATAAAATGTCAACTTGTTAGGAGTAAGTGATTATACCAATCCCGTGTGAGACAAATATTTCTAACGAATTTCCAATCAATTCATCTGTTTCATCCATAACTTCTTATGTTCAGCCAGTTTAAGCGAACGTTACTAAACAGGTTCTACGATGTAGATTCTTAGATCTTAATGGAAAACAATAATGAGTATATGATCTGATGATCATAATGAATAACTTATCACGAATTTGAGAGTTCTTGCATGAATTTACATGGTCTAAATGTAGGTGCTCATATTTGTTTGTTGATTAAATATTATTTTTTTGTTTGTTGAATAACAAAACAGTTAGGTGACATATATGACTGGTGGGGTGGGTGCATGTAACTGTGTAGGGTGCTTTTTTATGTCATCCCGTTGAACAATAATACTGTGTAAAGTTTGAACGACGCCTGCCTTATCAACTAAGTTTTCTTTCTGTCTGCCGGCTACGCCTTTTTTGTTATCAAGAAATGATGATGCCAGAATTTATCTCCCTACACAATGGCTAAGTGCTCGCTTGGTAGGATTATATTAAAATGATTGAACAGACGTTTTATTGAGATTATTATTGAATTTATACCCGAAATGTCGATCGGTCCGAATATGTTCATTTGGAAGAAATTATACGGGTTGTGTATATATATTCTCTTGATAATTGAAGTAAAGAAAAATGTCAGGATTTGGAAGTTAATGGTCATCAATAACTGAAGTTAAAATGTATCATGTATGGATCTTATTATTTAGCTCTTTCATTACTGGCCAATCTTGCGTGCCAGTTACGTTCAAAAGATTAGAGTTTTGTTAAAAAAAAGTACTGACGGAATGGGCATTAAAATAGAGTTCTTCTCCAACACGCCCACATTTTTTAGTTTGCACTTGCTTAAAAGGTGCTCGTTTTCTGCTGTAAAAGGTTAAAAATAGTACGTAATACTACATTTTAATACATGCAACGTACGTCACTTAGACATGTCATGTGTCTTGAATGTCCGTAAATATACTTTTCTCCATCCCAAAAAAAAACATCTCGCAATCCTTTTTGATCCGTTCCTTAAAAATGTTTTCATTTCTTTTTGGTAAACAAAACAGTGCAGAACAAGATTCAAACAGTGTCAAATAATGTCATTTTCTTAAAGCGTGAAAGTCAAACATGACCTTTTGAATTGGGATGGAGGGGGTATATCCTTATTTGGTAATCAAAGGTAGTGCTGGACTCGGGCCGGTTCGGGCCCGGTTCGGGCCTGGGTCCGGCCGGGCCTCGGGCCAGGAAAGGGAGGCCCGAGCCCGAACCGCCGGTGGCCGGTCCCGGTTCCGGGCCAAACCGGGCTGGGCCGGGCCGAACCGGCCCACTTAATTTTTTTTTTTTTGTTCTCCTATTTAATCCCCTACCCCTCCCCCTCAACCCCAAACCATCCCAAACCACCTCAAATGGCCCAAAATACCTAATCCAACCTAAAACTTAAAAAAATTTCAAAAAAAAAAAAATTAAAATCCGGCCCGGACCGGGCCCGAACCGGCCGGGCCGGTTCACCAAAACCTGGGCCCGGGCCCGAACCGCCCAGCAGCCGGGCCGGGCCGAACCGAACCGGTGGACCCACCGGGCCCCGGGCCGGGCCGGGCCGAACCGAACCGGTGGACCCACCGGGCCCCGGGCCGGGCCGGGCCAAACAGTAACCGGGCCGGGCCGGTTCCGGGCCGGGCCGCCCGGCCCGAGTCCAGCACTAATCAAAGGGAGTCAAAATTGGATGGGTGCTACTAGAAATGAACTGGCGCCCTTTTTAAATCACGCCAAGATCTAGTCTAAACCAAATCCAATATTTCCAAAACATAACATTTCCATTTCTTTAAAGACTAAAACTTCAGAATCGTAACTGAAGCTAGCCTAAAAAACAGTAAACGTTACAGAGGCTCCGTCTCCCCTTGCCAAAAATTGGGACTGGAACCAGCCCACATCCAACACATTTAATTACGATCGGTCTAAGGCCAAGTGAGTTATAAGAAAATACGCAAGGATGAGAGGCTAAAGACATCAGTATTACACGTGAGACTACGAAACCAGAGGACCTCAATACAATAAGGGCGGTGGAGTGGGTGCCCCCACCATTTGAGTGCAATGGCCCTCACTGACAAAGAATCACTATGATGATATAAACTAGGATATCAGCCATAACTTATCGCCTCCATGACTAAGCAATGACCACATTCACTGCCGGACAAATTAACTATGACTGATGACAAGTTTGATGCAAACTATTCAGCTTTCCAAATATTTTGTTTAAAATAAAAATCAACTGGAAAGTGACCAAGGGGGTGACAGCATGACATTATTCAGCAAATAAATATTTACTAGCATATAATACCTCTGATTTTTTTTAATCTTCACAGTTTGACTTCACACAAAATAAGGAAAAAAATTTGACTTTACTGTAGAGTATACTGTCGAGGCACTATTTGACACTGTTTGGTACTGTTGAGACATTTTTTGGCACTGTTTTGATGTAGATTTCTTTGCCAAAAAAGGAAATAAGGAAGTGTGAAGTTTATTTTAGGCCGTCCCAAAAAGGAAAGTGTGAAGTTTATTAAAAACCGGAGGGAGTAGTAAATATACTATATTTACCAAAATTAATACTATATAAAACAGGTACCTTACCTGTTTTCTTTTTTTGGTGGTCCCAAAATAAGTGTCACAACTAGGGTTGTTAACGAACCGAACTTTTATTGAACTATTTAAGTTCGAGCTCGGTTTCGAACCTAACGAGCCGAGCTTAACGAGTTTTCATACTCAAACCCGAGCTGAGTTTTAAGTTCGAAAAATTAATCAAGCCGAGCTCGAACATAATAGTATTCAGCTCGGTTCGAATTCGAGCCTATCAAACACCCTGAAATTATAAATACGTAGTATAATTTATATGTATGTCAAAATTTAAATATAATTAGTATGATTTTATGAAGTTAAAATTGATTACTCCGTATAAACAAATCGAATACTTGTCGAATCATTCGAGCACAAGCCTATTAACGAGCATCACCTAAAATTTAAATTCAAGTATATTTATCGAGCGCTCGATTCAAACATCGAACGTCTATCGAGCCAAACACGAGCCTCATTTGTAACGCTCGCCGAGCTTTGAGCTAGAACCCGAACACCACTAATTCCTTATCGAGCCGAACTCGAGCTTTGGGTGTTCGGGCTTGGCTCGGCTCAACTCGAGCCCTGGTAACAACTTTTACTTTCTCAACCACTTTATTAATAATCGTGTCAAGTCAAAGTAGGACACATAAAATGAGACGGAGGTAGTATCATTATATGATTATATGATTATTGGCTACGGTTATGAAAGCCAGTGAAAATCAAAGTCATTAGCTGACAACTTTACGTCTGGATCATACGTCATTAACCTTTTTGTGAAGATGCTGATGGATAAAACGTTAAAAAATATTTGGAGCAACCCAAGCCTACTATTGAGTATATATTTCCCACTAAAATTAGGGTCGTCTTGGGATCAAAACTGGACCCTACAGTGATAACCCTGTCTTTATAATAAATTATCCCCGTCTAAGTATACAAATAGCTATCCACAATATGGTGCCTGTCGGTGTCATGTCCGTACAATGCAATCACAACAGATCCAAAGAGGGGAGAATACCTACACGTGAAAAACCAACTAAAACTACATGACTTATTGAAGGAATTCCTATAAATATTAACCGATCATTAATACAACTTTACAACGCACTGGATGATGCAAAACTTTTCCCCATAAGTACAGAAAAAAGGTAAAAAAGACAAGAAAAAAACGGCCCTAACCTGGTAGAACCAGGCATACACTAACCCGGAGAGACATTCAATGTTCCATACTGTATTTCTTTAATATGCCATGTCATTATAGTCCCAAAATAATATACCGCATCATATGAGGGTTGCTTAATCAACCCGAACCTGTTTGGCAATACGTCTTAGGAAACGGGTTAGGGACATCTTGGCTTTCAGAAATCTCATGTCCATTTCGCTTTCCTTCCCCTCGTTGATTTTGGGCGGTTCAATAGACTGTACATTACGTACTAGATTCCGCAATTCCTGCACTCATGTTACAAAATATTTAGGCCCAATGCAATAGTAAGGTGTTGTCTTATTACCCTCTTCTTTTGTTTTTTATTATCATATCCACCAGAAAGCTTCCAAGCAGATTAGACCAGTGAGATTTAGATCACACAAATCCAAACCAGAAACAAGACGAGATCTTAAAAAAATCATATCAGATGATATTTTTTAAGACAGATAGAATAAGTTCCAAGTGGCCAGGGAGCAAGCTATACAAACTAACATCATAAAATGTACCAGAAGAATTGGTGAATTAAACACCATTCTTTTAAAAGGGGACTGCTAAAAAACTCCATAGTTGTAAACAAATTACGGGACTCTGATTCTGGATTTTAATTTGTTCAACAAGAAAACAGTTCATTATATCAGTGATGGCCAGGCAGTAGAAGAAGAAGCTAAACAAACAAGCCATGAAAAGGTTTAAAAAGCGGCACAGACATTTTATTTTCTCATTTAACAAGTTCCACCACAGACCAAAAACCTTAAAAATGACTCCCTCCAAAACAATTTGACAATGGAAACAATGGATTGCATAGGCTTAAGAGTGAAAGAAAAAGTTATAAGGAAAGTAAAGAAATTTAACAATTCAAGCAAGAAGATTTAGTGTTTGTTTACTTGAGGATTTTGAAGAGGATGTGAGGAAAATGGAGGAAAAGTTTGTATCTGGTGTGGAGAGACAGGACGGTTGTCGCCGTGTCGGGCGAGTGCAGGAACAATAAAAACATCCAAACTACTCATACAACATTCCCTCAATTTGGGGGATTTCAAAGTTGATTTTTTCTGAATTTCTTATACTTTTATACCGAAATTGTTACCACTTACCAGTATTAGTGTCATTATTCTCATGCATGTAGACTAATTTCTACCCGAAGGTCTAGAATTACGCTTCATCCCTTTTTTCAAAGTGCTGTTTTGCTTTTCTTTTTGTCCCACAATTATGTTAAATTTCTATTTCTCAACTACATTACATTTACCTCTTATAATTTGATATTTTAACCTACTTGCACAACTTTCGATAGATTTCATTCACCTTTGGGGTGGGCGTAGATTTGAAAAATTGACCAAAAACCATTTGCTTCCTTTATATAAATGAAAAAAGACTATTTTGGAAGGACCAGTGGAGGGATCATTAAATAATACTTTACATATTTTCCCAAATTAAGCCTCATTGAACCCATTATTTGTAATTGCACTACGCCTTTGTGCAATGAAATGAGCCTAAATGATTTTTACAACAAAAGCACCTTGAGGCGATGCACAAAAAGGCAACATCAAGGTTTAAACAATTTAGGCCTTCGGTGTATGTCTTATTGGTTGTGCCTCGGGTATAAATAGCCCCTATAGAAATATGGAACACGAGCAAAAATTACATTATTTACGGGTTATTTGCCCTCCAAATAGAAAACAAATATTTGTTAGAATTAGAGATCAGATGGGTCCCTTTAAGCATTAATCAATCAAGGTCTGCAATATAATTAGGGCAGACCCTTTATCTTTCATAGAAAAACTTAAATTTATAATACCTTTTTCAATTCTTATTCAGTTTTTTAAGTGTAATATGCAAAAATTAATTCATAATTATGTTGTCATATAAAGCCAATATTGTATATTTGTATATATTTCTAGTTCTTAAGTCAGTGTGATGCTCGGGCAGTATGTAATATTTTAGAATAAAAGTTAAAATGTCAATCTTGTGTATCATTTTTGGTATATAATGTCAGGCATACAATTAGTCTTGTATGTAACAAAATTATATTTGTGTGAGAAGTTTTATGATGTAGACAACTAATTGTCTAACTACACTAATACAACAACAACATCCAAGCCTTAATCCCCAAAAAATTGGGATCGACTAACATGAATCGATCTATCATATCGATGTCAAACAGAGAGAAGCTAGAAGCTAAAAATAACATAAGAATATAAAAAGATAAAGATAAACGATAAAAGAAAAGAGAGAGGAAATGTACAAAAGACATCAATCGTCCACATAGATGTGCGCCACTCGGTCTTCCCCTCCCTCTCCTCTCTGTCTCTTCTCCCCACTTTCCAAGTCATCTAACAGGTGCATCACTCGGTCTTTACGCACATGCCCAAACCACCACAAACGAGACTCCTGCATCTTATCTTGTATAGGTGCTACTCCCACCTTTTGTCTGATTATCTCATTCCTCAAGCGATCTTTTCTAGTATGTCCACACATCCAACACAACATACCCATCTCTAGCACACTCATCTTTTGAATGTGGCATTGATTCACCGCCCAACACTCTATGCCATACATTAATGCAGGCCTAATTGTTGTTCGATAAAATTTACCTTTGAGTCTAGTCAGCGTATCTCGATCGCATAGAAATCTTGATGCACTTCCATTTCATCCAGTTGACTCTGATTCTATGACATACGTTTCCATCTAATTCACCATTCTTCTGAATTATGGACCCCAAATAACGGAACAAATCACGCACAAGTATCTCTTTACCATCAAAAGTAATCCCACTGTTGCTACTACTTCTACCTCCACCAAACTTGCACTCCATATATTCAGTCTTGCTTCGGCTCAGTCTGAAACCCTTGGTCTCCAATGTTTCTCGCCATACTTCCAACTTCGCTTTAACATCGGATTGCGTCTCATCAATCAATACAATATCGTCGGCAAACATCATGCATCACGATATATCTTCTTGAATTGACTTCGTAAGTTCATCCATGACTATAGCAAATAAGAAAGGACATAGAGCAGATCTTTGATGCACTTCGATAGTAATAGGGAACTCTGTGATCCTCCCTACACCAATGCGAATACTTGTAGTACAAGCATCATACATATCCATGATGATACTGATATACTTACGTGATATGCCTTTTCTAGTTAAGGCCCTGCAAAGGACTTCTCGAGGTAACCTATCATATGCCCTTTCTAAGTCAATGAATACCAAATGCAGATTCTTTTTTGTGTCTCTATACTTCTCCACAACTTGTCTAAGAAGGTGAATGGCATCAGTTGTTAAGCGTCCAGACATAAAACCAAATTGATTCTCCGAAATTTTGACACTTTTACGAAGTCTTTGCTCAACCACTCGCTCCTAAAGTTTCAAGGTGTGACTCATAAGCTTACTCTCTCGATAGTTGACACATTCTTGTACATCACCCTTATTTTTAAATAGGAGAATGAGAGTACTATTCCGCCATGTGACCGACATCTTGTTGTTTCTCCAAATCATGTTGAAGAAACGTGTTAACCACTCGATACCTTTCTCTCCCAAACTTCTCTAAGCCTCGATCGATATGCCATTTGGGCCACTGTCTTCTTCCGCCCCATTTTTCGCATAGCCTCTTTAACTTTTGTTGTTTGAATTCTTCTCACGAAGTCTCGATTTACCATACATTCTAGTGTAGTAAGATCATCAATACCTTGCACTTCATTCCCGTTAAACGAGGTATCAAAGCATGACCTTTACCTCTCTTTTATTTCCTTGTCCTTTGATCGACATCCTTCACACACTTGACTTTTCCGATATCTTGAGTCCTACGATCCGAATGCGAGCAAGTCTGTAGATATCTTTTTCTCCTTCCTTAGAGTTCAATTTTGTATACAATTTCTTGTTCACTTGTCCTCTGGCTTCCTTCACATCTTTCTTTGCTCTTCTTATAGCCTCCTTGTACTCATTATTCTCGTCGCTCCGAATTTTGCCCAAATTCTTATAGCATTCCCTTTTGATCCTAATTGCTTGTTTAACATCATCATTTCACCAAGATGTGTCCTTTTTTGGTGACAAACATCCTTTAGATTTTCTGAGTATCTCGTTCGCCACTTTGTTAATGGTGAACTCCATTGATAACCACACATCATCCACATCTGCGTCATTATCAATAGACCATACATCATCCTCCAACATTTTGTGTGCAAAACTTTGTTGGAGATTCCCCTCGAGCCTCCACCACTTTATCTTTGGCTCCCCTTGTACCTTAACCCGTCTCTTTTTTTTTTACTTTGAAAATCAAGCACAAGCATCCTATGTTGAGTGACAACATTCTCACCTGGGATAACCTTACAATCAGTGTAGCTAATTCTCCAAGTCATCCGTACTAAAAAGTAGTCAAGGGTATTATAACTCCTTCTATAGGTGACAAGGTGAGAGTCTCTTATCTTGAACCAGGTGTTCAACACAGTCAACTCATATGTCGAGGCAAAATCCCGAATGTTCTTCCCTACTTCATTTCTAATGCCAAAATCATGCCCGCCATGGATACTCTCAAAACCATCACGCCTTGGGCCCACATGCCCGTTGAGGTCGCCTCATAAGACGACCAGCTTTTCTCCCCTTGGCACCATTTCCTCAAGATTCTCCCAAAATTGTTGAGAAATAGATGCATCCAATCCCACTTGTGGTGCATAAGCACTTACCATGGACACGATCTCATCTCTTATTATCAACTTAATGTTCATGATGCAATCGTTCTTCCTAAAGACTTTAACCACACCCTCAACAAAATCATGTGCCACCATAATACCTACTCCATTTATGTTCCTCTCCCTGAATACACAGCTTAAAACCTCCAAGATTAATCTCACGTGCCTTTTCTCCAACCCATTTAGTTTCCTGCATGCACATTATGCTGATATTCTTCCTCTTCATAACCTCGGCTATCTCAAATGATCTTCTCGTAAAAGATCATTATACTCCGCACCACTTAGTTTCTTGCATGCACATTATGACCAGATCATTATGCTGGTATTAGCAAAAATAAAACTCCGCAAATAATTTTACTTTTACATTTTTAACAAAAATTATTTTCCATCATTTTCAATGGAGCCAAAGATTCACTATTTTTTGGCTAGAGAATATGTTGGAATAAAGCAAAATGGCTCACTAAATTGTCTGCGCTTCTTTGTTATGAAGCAACAGGATTTTGGACGCGATTTTCACTATGGGTCATCCGGAAATAGTCTCTTTGTGCTTTAGTACAGGGGTAAGACTGCGTACATCCTACCGTAGGTGGGAGTCTTTGCGGCACTGGGGTAATGATAATGATGATGATGATTTTTAACAAAAATTATACACTAGACTGTGGAGTGCTTTATTGTGATTATTAAATTTTCTAGGCGGATTAGTGATCTGGTCTAGTATAATCTGGTCGGGTTAAGTGGACTGGAAAAAGACGAAATGACAAAAAGCAAGACCAGTCCACTCACTAAACCAGTAAATTAAAACATCCTAATAACAACTAATAATGACGTTCTTAACATGACTAATAAATTAACATAAACTTAAAATTACGGTACTGCACCTTTTTGTGGCATTCTCAAGTTCTCGAAAAGTGTCTCCACAGCCTAGCATGGGGGGGGGGGCACACGCCCTCATTTTTTTTACCCTACTCGACCAAGGAGTAAATAATGCCTACACAAATTTCCCACCATCAGTATAGCTTAGATGCCCTTAACACTTTTTTGTTACAAGATGGATCACATGGATGACTATAGGTATATTTAAGATATTGAAATGAATTCAACAGAATCATATTGAACAATAAAAAACAAAATTGGTAGAGTTACTATTCAACTAGAGACCCAGTGCTTTGACGGGCCAGTAAAACAAGTCATCTTGAAATTTTCTTGGAACTTTAGACATTTCTTTTAATATGTTACCATTTAATCTTGAACCCTTTGGAATAAGCAAAATTGGTAGAATTACTATTCAATTAGAGACCCAGTGCTTTGACGGGCAAGAGCTCATGCTTGAGGGCATGTACAGAGAGAGTGAAAATCATGAGCGGTGTGAAGGTTAAGGTGTAAAAGAAATGGATTCGATATAGGACAAAAGAAACTAAACTTGATCAACAAAAACGGTGACTTGGATGCTCATGGTTTCCTAGAATCCTTGATGCTGATGAAGACTGTTTTACTTCGATCTTTAGGCCTTTAGGGGGGTGCTGATTAGGAGGAGAAGTTGCTGGGGGTTTATATCCCAGTTCCAAACAACAACTGTTAAGTGATGATTCTAATATTTACCTCAATGTATTGAAAGTGGCACACTTATTAAGAAAAATGGAGTTATGTGGTTAACATTAAATTTGTAAAATACGAATGAATTTGAACTACACAAGTATTACAATACGTAGTATATTAAACCATTAATGAAATTCAGATTGGACACTAAAGTTTTTAGTAGACCAAATAAACACAAATTTAAACCTTTTGATTCCATTTTAGCCACCCTTAACTGCTCCGTTATTTTGTTCACTTTGATGCCACTATAAAGCACTGCCGGAAGAGATTAGCTACGGTCTTCGCCTCATCACCGGTTGCTCGCAATCCTCCCATCAGAATTCAGAACGGGCCAATTCGACTCTTCTTCTCCCAAGTGCAGCACACGCTACTCATCCTCTGCGGTGAACAGAAACACCAACTATCCGCCTCCTTCTGCTACTTAAAATCAAATCAAGAGCAAAAATGATAGATGGAGCTCCTTCTTCAACGGACATATGGGTAACAAGAGAGATTCAATGGCTACCTTCCTTGAAACCTCTGTCCACTGCTCAAAAAAGAAAATCTAGCCAGAGAAAATCGATATCTAGTTCAGCATCCAATAGAATCAGCAACGCCTCAGCCTTTGATACTGAAACGGTGAACGAGCAGCAGCATTTGACGACACTGGCGAACGAGCAAAGCAACCGGCAACAGAGACGAAGACTCCTCTGAATTTCAACTGCCGATTTCTTTCTCTCCAACAAAGAGCTCCATCAGCCCAGCAAAGAAACGGGGACATCGCCCACTACTCTTCACAATTAACCGGCGTAGCCTCGGCATCTAACACAGCAAACGAACACCAACATCCACCGATAAAATCAACATCTCTCCGTCATTCATCACCAGAAGAAAATTGCTGCAGACCATAATCAGAAATTGATCTCAACGGTAGCCCTACGATTCTTCATCCTCCAGCAAACAGAAGGCTCTCTACCACCATGAACTTAGTTTTCATACATTGGGGTTGTGTTGTTTAATGACAGGGAAGGGTCATCTAACGGAGATGTTAAAGATTTAAAAGGTTTAAATTTGTGTTTATTTGGTCTACTTAAAACTTTAATGTCCAATCTGAACTTCATTAAAAAAATTAGTGTCATTTTTGGCCCTTCTCCCTATTATATGAGACAAACTCTAGGGGAAGACGAATAAAGAAAGGTGAGTAAAATAATGGGACAGATGAGGTCAGAAAGATGAGGCATTTGATATTATGCTCATTGTTGTTGGATTTGACTGTAAAGTGTAAAGTTTTTTGAAATTACAAAAAAATTATCACAGTATTTTTAGATTTGAAGTGATTTTAATATTAATTGTAATTAGTTTACTGAAATTTATTGTTAGGCAATTTCTGACATTTATCAAACCAAACATAGTTTTTTAAACCACTCCCATCCCCCCACCCCCCGTCATATATCCTCCCATCTTTTATAAGGGTTCAAGTAATAGAGGATATTTTAAGTTTTTCCTCAAAATGTGACTTCAAGGATGTTTTTACTTAGACTGTAATCTGTCCCAGACCAGACCAGACTTGGATAGTTATAAAATACAAAGAGACCAGACATTACCAGACCAGACCAGCAAATTACAGTCCAAGTAAAAACATCCCAAGTATCAATGTTTCATAATTGTATATGAGCCAAAGAGAAAGGGAGTGATGTGAACAATGTTTATTTGGGTAACAAAAGGGAATGCCATTGAGGCAATGACAAAAACTAATGATGGAGCATAACTAACCTGACGATCAAACTCGGCTTCGCGAAGAGAATATATTTCATTGCTAATCTCGATGTTCTTATTAACTAAGCCATCAAACCATCTATCTGCCAATTCAATATTCTGCAACAAGTGAAAAAAGATGGCATAATATGTTTATTCTATTTTTGTGACGGTTAGGGTTATAAATGAATCACATAATTTTGACTCAATTGAACAATATTCAAATATATTAGAATGGGAATATATGTATATACAATATATATGAGTTTGTATCAATGACTAATCAATGACTATAGTACAGCCTAAAAATACTAATAACATAATATTAATGTACCGAAACTCATAGATATTTTGCATGTTTTATTTTGAATTTTTTTTGCTCCGTCATGAATTTCAAAGTAGTTTACTTTGGCGTTATAATTCTAAATTGACTTACTTATATTGATGTTAATTTTGATGAAGTGACTATACATTTTGATTTGTATGAAAGATGTGCTATGAAAACAGGACAAAACGACAAACTATACATTATAATTTTAATTATTTGATAAATTTTACATTTAATCCTTTTGAATTCGGATATTCAAATAAGATTCAAACATATTTAATATAACCAACGAAGTGAATGTGAATAACAAATAAGATCCGCTTATTAAACACAGTGTTGTCAATCACAGATAGTGGAGCGTAGCGACGAGCCCCAAAAACGCTATAGCGGTATAGCGGATAGCGGGATGACCGCTATTTAGACTACTTTCAAATATTATAGATAGGTAACTACTAGAAGCTTATGTAATACATACATATGAAAAAAAATACTCTTTGCCTTACTGGAAGCATATGTTTTAACTATGCTAAGGTACATCTAAGGTCTGCAAAGAGATTATTGAAACTAGATGGTTCACCCACCTAAATTACTTGGAAATACTCTTTAGTTTCATACTTTCATGAGCAAAACATAAGTTTCATACTTTCATGAGCAAAACATAAGTTGCTAATAATAATTAAAACATCTTAAATCAAAACATTGAGTCAAAACATACTTTCAAGATGTTCTCCTATGGGCTTAAACAAGACAGTAGACTGACTAGACTCCATACAAGAAGAAGAAGAAAAGAAGACTGCAGGTATGCAGCAAAGGTTGGAGAAGAAGAGTTGAGGCCGTTCTTGGAGGTGAGGCCATTGCAGAGCAGAAGATGGTTGTTAGAGCCATCACAGAGGTGCAACGGACTATTTTCAAAAGATGGCTTCGGTTTGAGCTTTTGGTAGCCTAACTTACGTCTAAGGGCTTTAACTAGGTTAATATTTTTGTTTTAAAAGTCTAATTTACTCCCTTCTATGTCTGCGCTTAAAAATTAATGCTAAAATTTTGCGCAGTACTCTTCACCATAAAAAGCGCCGCGTTAGCGGCCGCTATTATCTTTCGTGCACCTCTGCGATAGCGGGCGCTATGGCCGCAACTCCCAAACGCCACGCGAGAACCTTCCTTGTAGCGCCTAACATGTCTGCCGCACCGCTTTTCCGCTATTGCGCGCTATTGGGTCGCCATTCACAACACTTTCTTTGAGCATACTAGTATTGAACTCGTGCGATGCACGGAGATATAAATACTCTTTTAATTTTCTTTGATGTTGTACAATTAAGAAATGCTACTTTGAAAAATACTTTCTCAAATAGCCCCTAAAATATAAAAAGAGAAATATTGATAGGTGTTATGACACTAAATACAATCGTAAAATTAAAGATAGTATAGTATAAGAAATTGCACTTTTTTGAATTATACAAAAAGGGCTCTTTAAAGGGCTCTTTAAGATCAACCCGACCTAAGAAGCAATTTTCAATTTCATTTATGTTACAAACTCTATACTACCCCTATTATTTTACTCTTCAAACTCATGTTCATAAGCAATTAATAAAGAATGGAAGGAGTCAAGGAGTTACATAAGGAAAAAGTTAACAATTGTAAGATAAAATATTACGGAGTATAAATTTGGCCCACTAAAGTTGTGTATTTGAGACTTTGAGTATTTAACTACATCATAGGCTGCACATACATCTATTCATATATACACTCTTCTAGCTAGGGACACGTGTCTTGCTTGCTATACGGCCTCTACCCTCACTGGTTTAGATTTCTTATCATTGTGTTTTTGATGACTAATAAGCTCTCTTCTATATTTCTAGCAATACCCCGGTTCAAGAATTACTGTACTTTGTAATATCAGTATATTTTTGTTAACCAAAAAACATAACTCCACAATAAGAGACAGACGCCCATCTCCTCCAGGAGACGGCCCGACCCGGCAATTCAAAGGAACCCCAGGTTCTACTTCAGGCACAGCCTGGTTGAGCGCCAATTTTGGGATATACGCGGACATCCCATATTCCCATCTCTCTACGACCCGTTTTTTTAATATCATTCTTTCTGAAAACTTCAACAGATTCTATACATGTAAAACTATTACATCAGTTTGCCGGCAATGCCATTTCTCTTTGTTCGTAATAGCTTTCTCTTGACTAAACAGTTTTTTTATATTATTGTTTGATCAAATAACTATGGAGACAATGACAATCAAACAAAAATACACAAAACACAAAATATGAAAGATGGATCACCTCAACTTTGCCTGCAGTCTGGCTTTGATTTCTGGAGTCGTTTTTTACGTAGTACTACGAATATTTTAACCTTCTTTCTTAAAATACAACCCCATGCATATTTGAGGAATTGTGAGCATGCTGCCAATTTCCGAAAGTGGGCGGATATTTCTTACCGGCACTTTAGAAACCGCTTCGTATTTTTAGACAGACTGAGCAGTTATTTAACAGGGATTTGCGCATACATTAAACAGGCAGGAACAGTTACTTGACACACAATTCCATTGTTATATATATAAAGATAAGAATGTGAATATTCGGTAATTTATACGAATACAAATAATGATGTCAAGTATTCAGTTTGATTTGTTTAGTCCCCTAGTTATCATCTCTATTTTTAGTGAAAATTCATTCCTGGGGATTTTCTTCTTCTGAATATCAAACTAGGTCATGCAACACTCAACTATGTTAGCCCATAACTCATGCACCCTCCCTCCTTACAGAATAACATGACTTCTAATGAACTTTCCTAGACGGAAACCAATTATTGTAGTCTCTTAGAATTCAGATATGAAAGACAAGGTGGCTTTTTTGTGTAGTCCCGTCAATTCCCTATCGAACATATATATAAGTCATATGGCATCATGATATATTAAAGAAAGACAAGTACTACAAGTAATTAGTAACACAATGCACACCTCATCATCATCGTCGTCATAATCATCATCATCATCACTCTCCTCATACTCAGTTTCATCAGCTTCTTCATCTTCAATGTTCTGTGTCCTTGAGCTACATAAAGCCTCAATCTGTTTTTGGTCACCATTGCTAGTTGCCTTAATCAAGCCATCCATCAATTCAGGCTCCGCATCCCGAAGCAGTTTGCCTAAAATAAACTTAATAAACATACAATATCTGGGAAGTTACACACACACACTTGTTAAGCTAAGTTTCCTAGAAAATCAAGTAAAATGATTATCATTTCATTGCAAACACATTGGTCTGCATTGATTGATACAGTAGTAGATCTTATAAGAAAAATAAATGCTGCAATTTACTACCTCTGTCCCTTAAACTATGACAAAGTTGACCACAGGGAGAATAATAAAGTAAAAACTGTATGGTTGAAATTTGTGCAGAGGAGAGAGAAATAATAGAAACCACAAAATAATTGATTAAAAGGAAAAGTGGTAATGTTTTTTGGGACGTCCCAAAAAGGAAAGATTTTGTTATTGTCAAAGTTTTTGGCAATAGTTTTTGGCAAAATTTTTTTGGAACGGAGGGAGTATTTATTTACTTAATGACGAATACTTTGAGAGGGAGACCTATATGGCTGAATTGTCTTCGTTTTCCTTCCCGGACGTCACGACCAAATCTCTGCGTCAAACAAAAGATAAGTATACCTTCTAAAACAATCATAACCACAAGAAAGCAACTCTGGGGCTAGCAGAAACGAAAATGAAGTTCATATGAAGTACTCACCTTGACAAGCATGAGTTCATCGTAGACATCATCCTTAACTGCAGTCACTCTGATTAAAGCATTTAAAAACAAACAAAAAATGAGAACGTAGTGCAATACATTGCTGTCATCGCACCAATCTGTTGGAAAGTTACATTTCATTTTACTAGAAAGAAGAATTCAACTGCCATTACCTAAGGATTCGTTTGATTTGAGAAGGCGAGAACTTGGCCAGTTCAATCCCCCAGCGAACGGCGCGCTGAGCTTCGCGTTTCTTCGCATTTCGGCTCTTCTTCACCTTATCAGAACCGCCGTCGCTGTCGCTATCGCTCTCGGATGACTCGAGCGGTACAGGAACGTCGGGCATTCGGATGGCGCCGGAGCGGAAGCTGAGGTGGCGGCGGGACGAGAATGGAGCTGAAGAAAACGGAGACGAAGAGCAGGAAGCGGTATGAGAAGTTCGTAACGGTGAATGAAGAAAACGAATCGTCACTGCAGGAGGGAAAGAAATTCGGTATTGCCATCTTGTTGGCCACTTCAACCAAGCCTTCATCGCATGAGCCATCTCACTATCTCAGCTTCCTGCAACCGAAGCGAGGAGACAGAACGAACCAAGATGGCAGGTCCGGATCGAGCGCTCGTCGATTTGGGCCTTTGGGCTTTACTAGAAAAGTCGACAATGGACTGGATAGCCCAATGGGTTTCACATGGAGACGCGCGTGAACTATGAAGACAAACAGGTATACAACGCGTATTTTTTATCCCACACCGAGAGTTTTAGGATTTTTTGCTCGATTATGGCATTATAAAAAGAAGAGTTGGATGAATTCAGAGAGTATGATCCTTCAGGTTTTATGGGGATGTGATGAGTGGTCAATACTTGCATTCGTTGCAAGATGAGTGCCCGCCCCTCTTGTTACGACAATTGGGCGCTCTCACTATTTTCCATCTGATCCCTACACATTTTATTTTCTTTGCTATCAATAATTTTTCCTCTTTCTAAAAATAAAATCCTTTTTGTTATTTTTGTTTTTTGTGTGTGTAAATCCTTTTGCTATCATGGTTTCTGCTTTATTTTTTTAATAAAATAAAATCCGTATTTTGCTTGAGGCCATTACATTTAGTTTTCACTTTCATGGTAAGAGGCCGTTTGGTAGCACAAAATTTTTGGTTGATTCTGCTGAAATTTATGAAGTTTTAGCTAAAATGGTTATTTATATTAACTTCACATTAGCCAATACAACTAGAAAAGTTACTCCAATTTTACTTTTTTTGTTTATTACACAATTCAGCGCGTGAAAGCAAAAGTTACGTGTTTGGTGAAAAAGTTAGTTGATAAGACTTGATAGAGTATATGGGCCTATACCCCATGGCCCACATACTCGTAGTCAACGACGACCAGAAGAATGCCACATGGCCCCCTTCGGCCCAGTGGGATCCGCAACGGCCGGAACCAAATCGGCCCAGAACATTCACCTGTGCCTCTGGGGCCGCATCGGCCCATGAACCGCATCGGCCATGGGACCGCATCGGCCCATGGACCGCATCGGTCATGGGACCGCATCGGCCTGACGTCACCGCATCGGCCAAACTTCGTCCTGGCAGAAGGCATTTTCATACCTTATTTGCTAAGTATTGTACTCAGTCCATTACTGACCCTATTTCGCCCAAAGAAGGCATGATTATTGTAATGGGCCTCCTAAGCCCATGGTTAGAAGCCCAAATCCATCTTTTTACCTATAAATAGACCTCTTGGGGCTAGTTATAGGGGGTTGAGAAATATAATCACTCACTTTCTCTCTCTAGCTCTCACTTCTCTCTAGAATTAAATATTCTATCAAGACTGATAAGCCGAAAAACAGTGTTGCCAAACTGCCTCTAAACTCATGTTGGACACGGTATTTTTACAGAAAATAGTGTTGTTCATAAAGTTCTAACGTTCACTTTTTATTTCATTTTATAGCTAATTTTATAGCTAATGCTTAAAAAATACTTAGACCCATTTTGTACTTCTGCTATACAAAAAAAAGAAGAATATCTTCGTGATGTTAATGATGTGGGGGTTGGAGGGATTTGGTGTACGTAAATGTAAATGGTAGCTAGAGGATAAAATAATGAGAATATAAAATGGTGTAAGTTGATTGACATGAACAGTAGTTACTACGAAGTGCACTAAGGGTCTGTTTGCAACAGCTTCTGCTTTTAAAAAAATGTTTTTTTAATGAAATGAGGAGAATTGATTAAATAAAAATTGATAGTGTTTGAGAAAAAAGTGATTTTGAAAAGTAAAAGTGAGTAGTGTTTGGTAAAATAAGTGTTTTTTGTGTAATAGAAAAATTAACAGCACTTTTGACGCGGAAGCCGAGAAAAATAAAAGTTGTAGTGTTTGAGAAAATAAGTGCTTTTTTAAAACCAAAAGGTGAGAAGTGCTTTTTTAAAAGCATTTGCAAACCAACCCTAATAATGTGGGAAATCTCAAAGGACAAATTGGAGAAAACATAATATTAGTGGTGTTTATAAAAGGAAAAGTAGACATATGGACCGAGTTTTGGGACAGACTAAAAAGAAAAATGACATGAAAGAAGTACTATATAGTATTATCTTCACCCCGTTAATACTGAAAAATGAGGATGTGATACAATTATTAAGAAAAATGTCTTTATGTGTTTGATATTGAATGAAAAATGTCTTTATGTGATACATAAGAATGATTTAGAGAGTATAGACCGGTATATAATAAAAGAGTCTTATATTGAAGAAAATCTTCTGAAATTAGTGTATGTGGATGGTCCATCAAGCCCAAATGAAAAATAAAAAGTCTTGGTGTACACCCTGGGTTATACCCTGGGGTACATCATATATAAGACTAATTTTTTACTGCTTTCTTTACCCCTCCTCTCGCACAACCCTCCCCTCCCCATCCCTCACGCACGTTTCTTTCTCTCCCACATCCCTCTCTATTCGTTCTCTTCTTCCAGCCTTTCTCTATGTTTTTTTAATTTTTTTCTTCAAACATCATGGATGATTTTCTATCATATTTGATGGTGGATGGAGAAGTGACCGGAACCGACGGAAGTTTGGAAGATACCTACCTGCGACGGACAACGGAAATGGAAGAAACGCTGAAGCTATGAACGTCGAAAATGGGGGAGTTGTGAATGAAGAAGATGGAGCTGTGACGGAGGACGGAAAGGGTAGAACTGTGAACGAGGAAGATGGTGGTCCGAACAACGCTAGGGACAAAGACTTAGGTGGGACGGGTGGCGGACCTGTGACACAAGGCGTCAACGAAGTTCCGATATTTGATGACAGGGATGATTACAACTGTTACGGGGAAGGGAATAGCAGGGAGAAGACAAATGCAGATGTTGGAGGTATTTTCTTTGACACACACGCCAGCTTACATACTCAGTGTTGGTGTGTACCGACAACTAATGTTGATGTGTACAGAGTAGTGTCGGTATGTATAGACATCTGAAGAAATCCTCATTGAATTAATTTATACCTACAAAGATGAATGTTGTATCTATGAATGAGTTAATGTATCTATGAATGTTGTTAATGTATACCCTACTACTATAATGTATACCTATAGAGATGAATGTTGTACGTATCTATGAATGAGTTAATGTATCTATGAATGTTGTTAATGTATACCCTACTACTATAATGTATACCTACAAAGATGAATGTTGTATCTATGAATGAGTTAATGTAAAATAATTATTTGATTATGTGAACAGATGGAGATAACAATGGTGATGAATGCGAACAAATTCCAAAGTTAGGCATGGAGTTTCCTATAAAAAGTATGCCAAAAGTGTTGGCTTTCCTGTTAGACACCACACTTCAAGGAAGAATAAAGAAGGGAACTTGTTTGCGTTTGTAGTTGAGTGCTCACGTGCAAGCAAAAGATGTAATAGGTCAAAAAACTGTTTGAAACCTCAACCTTCCATGCAAAATGGGTGCTTAGCGAGAATAAGAGCAAAGACGGATTATGCGGGCTCATGGGGATATGGGTAGTATCACAAGTGTTTTTAAACCACAATGATCCTATGAGTCCTACGAAGTCTAGATTATTCCGTGGTAATAGGAAGTTGATCATGGGGATTATGCACCAAATCAAAATAAATGACATTGCCGGAATACCTCTTTGTAAAACTTTCAATTCAACGGTTGTAAAGCCGGTGGATATGACCAACTTGCTTTCATCGAAAAGGACTGTAGGAACTACATAGAAAAAGTTCAACAACTTAGATTAAGAGATGGAGATGCAATGGCCATCCAAAGTTTTTTTTTTACAAAAATGCAAGCTCAATGTCCAGATTTTTTCTTCACGGTTGACTTGGATGAAGAGTCACGATTGCGTAATGTTTTTTGGGCGGACAATAGGTGTCGATATGCATACAAGGATTTTGGAGACGTCATTACATTTGATACGACATATCTCACCAACCGCTATCACATGCCCATTGAGATTTCACCAATAGTGTGGGCTATCTCACCAACGACATATCTCACCAACCGCTATTTGGTAACACCTTAATCGGTTGTATCGGCTGATTTTGCTAAAAATTATGAACTTCTGTCTGAATTGACTGTATTGACCGTATATAGCCAGAAAAGTAACATCAACCTTACTTTTTGTTATTATTACACAATTCAACGTGCAAAACCAAAAATTGCGTGTTTGGTGAAAAAATTTGCTGATAAGCCTAAAAATCCAAAAAACATGATTACCAAATGGGCTCCTAATGTATGAGGTTTTAGTTTTATAAATAATGTGAAGCTTTCCGAAAATAGCACATTCTAATTTTTGCTACGAATCTTATGAAATCTTAAGAATCTTAAGAAATCTTCGAAAAAACTTTCAATAACACTCCGTATAGCAGCCAAACTTTCAAAAGATTGTTGAATTGGCACCTCCCGGTAAACAGCTGGAGGTTGGTCGTTTGATCATTAATGCATACTTCAATTCCTTCGTTTTTTGAATCTTATCTTGTTTGTTCTTCTAAGTTGTTCCATTTTTATCGGAAGTAAACACATCAAGCTTAAAGGGTGTGGTTGATGTTCGTTCTTTTATTTTCTGATTTTGTGTTTCTCTTGTAAATTGTATGAAAATGAAGTGTTTTTAATCATTTTGACATTTTCTGCATTAGGAGTTTAGGGCTGGGATTTTGTATGAGGATAAGTGTTTTTTTTACATTTATGAAGCACTTATTGTCAATTGAATCATTGTCTACTGAAATTTGAGCCATTTATATATATAAGCATTAATACTATATTCATTATTGATTAGTAAATACATGCTTGAAGTGTGTAACATACTTATGGAAATTAAGATGTAAATTGTGTGTTCGTTTTGGAAATTAAGATGAAATCCATGTTTAGAAAACAAACATGATCCCAATATCTTAGTTGTTACAATGTTACATCTCTTTGCACGTTATAAGTAGTCCCAGCAACCATCGCCAGCCTTATTGAAAGAAAGGAAGTTCCGATGAAAAAAAGTGTTCTGTGTAAGTTGTAGAAACTAGAAACTGTCATCATCATCATTAGTTCATTACTCCGTATAAGATATGACGAAACCTGTTTATACCTATGAACTAATGAACCCTTTGGCCTTTGCTAAACGGTTTTTTTTCAGAACATCATTCAAGGTACATATAAACTTGTATAGTTGTATAAATCGTGTACGTGTGTATAATGTATATATGTATATATTTATGTGTTTAACTGTTTATTTTACTACGTAGTACTTCGTATATTTTATGTTTCATTTTAGGTTTAGTCCTATTTTAATAAACTTTAATTCTTTGATAGAATATTTTAGGGATAAGGGTCAGATAGGGCCTCGAACTTGGAAAAAAATGTCAAATAAGGTCATATTTAGGATGCTATGTCCGGATGACGCCATTTGGGCCGGTTCCCGGTGGATTTTTTTGATGAAATTTTTTGAGCATCTTTTTAACTAAGTCTAGTTTACTCATACCAAATTTCAGCTAAAAATTCAACCGGGAAGGTAGTCAAATGATTTTTTGAAGATAACTGTGAAGTTAAACAACGCAGTACATTTCGGAAAATCATTTGACTGCCTTCCCGGTTGAATTTTTAGCTGAAATTTGGTATGGGTAAACTAGACTTAATGAGGAAAATGCTCAAAAAATTTCATCAAAAAATTCCATCGGGAACCGCCCCAAATGGCGTCGTCCGGACAGAGCATCCTAAATATGACCTTATTTGAGATTTTTTTCAAGTTCGAGGCTCTATTTGACCCTTATCCCAATATTTTATACAGAGATCTATGGGGCGTGCAAAGCTAACTTTGAGACTAGAGGCCTGCTAGGGGTACACACTTTTTGTACACAAAAAGTGTACATTCGTCTGTCTCCCACAGACAAATTGTCTGTCGCGAGACAAATTGTCTGTGGGACAGACAACTCATCTCGCGACAGACAATTTGTCTGTGGGGGACAGACGAGTGTACACTTTTTGTGTACAAAAAGTGTGTACCCCAATCTTTTTTCTTGAGACTAATCCCAAACAAGAAATCTCGAAACCCGACCTTCAAGAAGAGGAAGGAAGGAATATGGGCTGCCCGATGAGGCCCAATCATCCGAGCCCACTATTTGGCCCACCGACCGATCCAAAGTTGAACAGATGATCCAAGTGTACAAGGAGAAGGGCGCAGAAAACGGTGCCCGGGTTTATGGGCTACCCAATTTCTACATGGACCGGAAGAAGAAGGTGGAGGAAGAGCTAAAAAAGTTGAAAAAGAAGAAGTTGGACTCTAAATACCTGACTTGCCCGAAGTTGTTGGATGGCATGTCCAAACCCGAACTAGAGAACTTTGTGAGTTTCTTGGGAGTTTTTTCCCGGAATAATGCTAAATAAATAAATAATTCCCAAAATACTGCTTGATTAAAAATAATTCCCAAAATACTGCTGGATTAACCGTGGTTAAGGAAAGCCGCCACTTGAAACGGCGGGTTTTCACTTACAGTACAAGAGCCGCCACTTAAAGTGGTAGCTTTCTATCTAAAAAAACGGAGCACACAGATGTAAGGCCAAACACAAGTAGCCAATATATGGTAGTGGGTCCCACAAGAATTTAATATCTCCTGTTTTCTTTGAAGTGCTATAACTCTTTTATTTGTACTTTGATTGTTACAAAATATATACCGAAATTCATAACTTTTTATTATCTTTCATATGGCACCAATATTGAATATATAAAATCAAAAAAAAAAATTAACACTTTAAAAATTACTGCGTTTTTTTAAAGTGCATATATTTTTTATTTGTATTCCAAATATTACAAAAAATACATCAAATTTTTTTATTTTTTATTATGTTTTATAGGGTAGCAATGTTTCATATAGAAAAATAAAAAGAAAATATATTAATTTGGGTAGTTTATGATCATTTTTACCATGCACTTCGGATTTTTATATATTCAGTATTGGTGTTATATGAAATAAAAAAACATAAATTCTCGTGCAAAAAATAAATAAATAAATAAATAAATAAATAAATAAATAAATAAATAAATAAATAAATAAATAAATAAATAAATAAATAAATAAATAAATAAATAAATAAATAAATAAATAAATAAATAAATAAATAAATAAATAAATAAATAAATAAATAAATAAATAAATAAATAAATAAATAAATTAATAAATAAATAAATAAATAAATAAATAAATAAATAAATAAATAAATAAATAAATAAATAAATAAATAAATAAATAAATAAATAAATAAATAAATAAATAAATAAATAAATAAATAAATAAATAAATAAATAAATAAATAAATAAATAAATAAATAAATAAATAAATAAATAAATAAATAAATAAATAAATAAATAAATAAATAAATAAATAAATGTGATGGAGTTTGTGTATGGTAAAAACAATCCTAAACTGCAAAAATTAATATATATTTTTTCATTTTTCTATATGAAACATCGCTTCCCTATAAAAGATAATAAAAAATAAAAAAAAATGATGTATTTTTTATAATATTCTGAATACAAATAAAAAATATATATAGCACTTTAAAAATAGATACACAGAATTTATTATAGAAAAAATTACACACACAAAAAAAGAATAAGCTGGTTAGAAACGGTGATCGAATGAATACTTCTCTTCCCGTGTACTCACATAATTTATTATAGAAAAAAATACACAAAAAAAAACAGATACGCAGTCATTTTTAAAGTGTTATTTTTTATATATATTCAATACTGGTGTCATATGAAAGATAATAAAAAGTTATGAATTTCGGTATATATTTTGTAACAATCAAAATACAAATAAAAGAGTTATAGCACTTCCAAGAAATCAGGAGATTTTTGATTCTGATGGGACCCACTACCATGTATTGGCTACTTGTCTTTGGCCTTACATCTGGGTGCTCCGTTTTTTTAGTTAGAAAGCCGTCACTTAAAGTGGCGGCTTTCCTTAACCACGGTTAATCTAACAGTATTTTGGGAATTATTTATTTATTTAGCATTATTCTGGGAAAAAACTTGTTTCTTGGATGGGAAGCTTCGGGCTTCAAATACCCGGCTTGAGATGA